CACACACCCCCCCACCCACCCACACACACACACACACACACACACACACACACACACACGCACGCACACACACACACACATATCAACAGGACAAGGACCTCCGGGAGCTGCGTGACACGCGGGAGTGGCTGGACATGATGACAGAGGCCAAGGGCGGCCTCTCCCGGGAGCAGAAAATCAACCTGCGGACAGAGGCCAAGGTGGGGCACCACCGCTGCAGCCCGGCAGCAATCCATGACAGCGGCGGAGGGCGAGGGGGACGGCGGCGGCGGGCCGCCCGCAACGGCGAGGCAGCTGCACCGGGCGTCGCGGTGCGGGTGTGATGGTGTCGGGCCTAGGCGAGGCGCGTCCTCCCCTGGCGGCCGCGGAGCGCGCTCTGAGCTGCGGGCACGCGCGTGTGCGTCTCCCGCCCGCAGGCGCCCTTCCGCTTCGCGCGCACGTTTATCTTCGGCGGCCTGGCGGGCGGCGCCGGCTTGGGGCTGATAGTGATCATCGGGCGCCTAGTGCAGTCGCTGAGGGGTGAGCAAAACGGGAGGGGCCGACGTCGGGTGATGCCGACTTGCGCACGGCAGCAAGCACACAGCCTGCCGGCACGCGCACGGTAGCGGGGGGTTCTCGTCGCAGCGGCGGGCAGAGGGCGCCGTTGGGGAAGGGGCGGCGCGCGGGCGGTCGGCGCTCTGCGGAGTCTGAGGCGTGCCGTGGCGCCACGCGTCCCCTCAGCACCTTCACCGGCCCCAGGCGGGCCCTTGCGGTCCCAGTGTCACTACTGCTGGCGGCCACCTCATCTCCCCTCCCTGCCCTCCCTCGGCCCCCTCCCCTCCCCCTCCCTGAACTCCTCCCTGACCCCCACCACCGCACCCCCTCGACTTCCTGTGGATCAGGCGGCCCCGACGCCCCCCCGTTGACCGAGTCGTTGACCAACCTCGGGGTCAACTCGGCAGCGCTCGCGATCCTGGTGTTCCTGCTGGTGGGTGGCATTGGGGCATCTGATCAGGGGTGTATTCATGCATGTATATACACATGTGTACACATGTATATGTGTACATACATTATCATCCATACCATTATACAGTTGAATGTACACATGATTAGGTCTGACGCCGCACGGCGAGGTTTGGCCACTGGACCCTCTCCCTTCCTCTTACACCCGACCTGCACTCCGCGGACCCCCAGGTGCGCGATCTGCGCGGGAAGGAAGCTGACGAGAAGGTGACGTCGCGGGAGGAGGCGCTCAGCAGGCTGCTGGTGGGCGCCGCGCGCGCGCGCGGGGGGCAGGGGGGCCCGCGCACGCTTCCGTTCGCCTCGCCTGGCTGGGGGGCGCCCCGTTCTCGTGGGAGGGGGGGGGGCGTGCTGGCTCACCAGCGAGGCGGCGGGGTGGGGCTGGCCCGGCCGCCGCCCCCGCCGG